AAAAAAGCAACAAACGTCTTTGCCGAGCATCCCTGGTCTGATCAGCCCCCACCCCCCCGCAGGCAATGCCTTGCCGGGGCAGCCACGCAGAGGGGCAGCAGCACATGCAAAGCAGCTTGGGCAGACTTTTCCGTTTGTATAGATAAAGCAAGATGTATTTTTTTTTTTTTTGTCTAAATGTGAAGTCTGCTGCATGAGGAATCCGTGTGACCACTGTGGAACAAAAGTCTTTGAGCTTCCTCAGTAGTTTTCGGTGTGATTTTATAAAGCTGGAAGGCAGCGTTTCCCCGTGGTAGGTAAATACGTGCAGCACATCATCACACCACTGAGTGGCTGCTGGGCTTAGAAGACAGACGTTAGACAAGCCTCTAATTCGCACATTTCTACGCCAATATTTTTTTTATTATTATTTCCCCCAGACTGAAACTCTCCCACGTACTAAGGCTGAGGTTACCTTACTCTGCTGACAGTACTAGGTACCTCCATTAGAGAGGTGCTGGTGTGGGAGCCAAATGAGGTGTTGCAGATTCCTGTAAACACTAAAAAAGCAACCCAAAAAGCCACCTTATCTACCTTCAGCTTTTTCCTGCTCACCTCCTTTGATGCAGAAGGAATTTTTGGCAAGGGTTGGCAGCTCATTGTGGTATCCAGCATTATCTTGCTTTCCTTGCATTTCTTGCCCACCCACCTCATCTGCTTTTCCTCAGCTCACATCCAGTGTTTGGAGCCAGGACTGACTTTGGTAGGTGTTTGTGCAGTGCCTTGCACAACAGCAACTCCCTGTGCCTGGTGTTAATGACTTCAGCTCTTGCTCTTTGCACTGCGGAGACCTTTTATATGTCTTGCTCTCTCTTATCAAGGGTAATTCTGGCTAAGTCAGGTGACTCTAGCTGGGTACCCAGCTGTGCAGTTGGCCTCAGTGGGGAGCTGCATGAAGGAAAAAAACCTCAGGTTAAATTAGACATGACAGGTATCACCCACTTGGCAAAGCAGAAGCCACTGAGGGTTTGCTAAAGTGACAGTGATGACCAGTGCAAACGATGGCACTGGTGCCCTGATGACACATGGTTCCTGGCAACAAACTCACCAAATGGAAGAAAAATACAAATTCAAGTGTTTTCATTTCTAAAGCAAAGTGTAAGACATTGCTCTAAGCAATTTCCACGTAAACCCATCCTTGTGTCCTGTAACAGGATATTGAAGGTTACTCAAACTATGATTCAAGTAGAGCATATATTCATTTATAAACTGTCCAGAGTGAGTTCTCATGCCATATGGTCTGTGAGACAATACAGCCTTCCCCTCATACTGAAAAGAAATTATTTGAGTGTCCAAACTGCCAGGTAAGGTCTGATGGCTGGGAAGGGACTGGGGTGTGTGGAAAATGCAGCCAAGGGGGTAATTGTGGTTATGCTGTACTAGAAAGCACAGGATGGTTTTCTAATTGGAAGTGTAAGGAGCTTACACCACAAAGGATATTTCTACCCCGTACTTTTTGTATTCTCTGACTGCTACAGGGTACTTTCCGTTTTGTGAATGCAAGAGAAAAAATTGTCACGAAGAGAAATTGAGGAGCAAAGACCTGATAAAGGCACTGCAATGAACATTTAGAAACTCACATGCGTACACACCCCCCTCCTCCCTGCCTTAGGGCTGGTTTAGTCACGTCCCAGTTCCTCAGATGGAAAACAGGCAAGTGAAGCATCAGCATCGGCATCAGTGCTCTGGCACTTCCCGGACCCACAGGTTATCCGGGATAAAGCACAGGAAAGGCAGCGTGTTTCATCGATAGCCAGACAGTCTGTTCCCAGGGAGAGGGATTTTATCACTCTCCGAACTGCAGGACAGCCAAGCCCCCTCCTCAAGCCAGCCCTGCCCCTCAGGCTGCACTGCCGAGCTCACAGTGGCACATCGCGGGCTCAGGGAGCAAATCCACCCCCATCCCACCATCCACACACTGTCCCATGCAGAACCAATGGGGAGACAAGGGGTTTTCAGTGGCAGGGTTGGAACAGGTGAACTAAATAGGGTCATTTTGCTGCCATAAATAGCAAAATATTGTGGGAGAATCAAGTTTTGTCTAGGCCTCTTCCAAAAGCAATCCAGTGGCATTCCCGCTGGTGCTCCTGAGATCTCAGGATCATACAGTGGATGAGCTACCCAGCTCCAAGAAGCCACCTAACAGGGACTGGAGTTGGAAATAGCTGGTTCCTTAATTAGTAGCTGGCTCCTTATTTATACATGCAGACAGTCTCTACTGGGGTATTTTCCTGTTTTTGTGAAGGGCCAGGGTGGGGAATCACTACCTGTAGGAGGGCACAAACTGTCTGGGACCCCACACACACCCCCCTAATGCTGGCACCACAATTTGCCACAGGCAACCTGGAGATACGCAGAAGACACATGAGGGTTTGTTCCCTTTCTGGTTATAGTGGGGGAAAAACAAAGATGCCACTAATAATCACCTGTTAGATAAACACCAGCCTCTTACTGGAACAGGTTCATCTACCAGCACCTTGATTTACTCACCATCACAAGCCTGTCTCTCCTACCTGGTTCCATAGAGATTTCCACCTTCCAAGACGAAGTTTCAGTTCGCCAGTTGTTTTAGTGGAGCAGCACAGCCTGGAGCAGAGCCTGAAGGGTGTTTGCAGCCATTCATCCCAACAAACACCTTTGCACCAGCCTTTTATCCCCTGGCAGTTGCTGTCCTGACCCTTTCGTCAGCTCCCCTAGGGATGAAAACCCTCACGGCCAGCTCTTAGATCATGTTCAATCTTTGTGCTTTCCTACCCTCTTTACCTTGGTGCCTGCAGTGACATGAGCTCACTGGGTACTGGCGTCTCTACAGAGCTGGGAAGCGATTTCCCCATCAAACCACATCTGCTTGGGAAATTACATTAATTTAAAGTCATTAAACAATACCAAAAAAAAAAAGAAAGAAAGAGAAAGAAAGAAAAAACCAGCCCCCTGTGATGTCTCAGCTTATAAAGGTGCTTGCAGCCAAGATCTGATCTTGCAAGGTGCAACCTGCAGGGGAACTAAAGGCAGTCAGGCACAGCAGACAGTCCTTTAATGAGTTGTAACCAGCTCCCCGTAAGCAGTGTCAGCTCCTCACTGCTGGATTAGTGCACGCTTGACAGGATTTGCAGAGCATAACAGACAATGAAACACCACCAACATTTAATCAGTCAGGATATACAATTACAAGGCAACTCAAAGATGCTTATTTGCCTCAATTTTCAAAACCAGAACTGCCAAAAAAAACCCCAAAAAACAAGTGAACTGTCAGCTCAGTTCACAGAAAGACTTTTCATCACATCTCTGTCTGTGGCAGGCGAGAGTTACCAAAATGTACAGAAATGCCAGATGTCACAGGCAGAGATGGTATAGCAAAGCCTATAAATAGTCAAAATTATTTTTTCAGCATACATTTGTGATTCATAAAATGTGGAACTATAATGAATTTCAAATGCCACATAAATGTTCAAATACAACATATTCCTCTGTGCTTTCCTAATGCTTTAATATTATATGTCTGGGTTGTATAAAGTTGACATTTAACTTGCAAAGGTGTTACTAAACCCCTAGTCTTTTAACCAAAATGACTGAATAAAAGTAACAATTTTGTTTTCAACTCTTTTCACCTGAGGATTTACCTCCCTGTAGTGCACACACAGGTGCTGTGAAAGGGTGCATTAGTTAGAACTGTTCTAGAAGGGTGAGGGAATGGGTAACTTTTTCTCTGAATAATTTTCATAGAGAACAACATCTGACAAACACCCGTGTGAGGGAAGTGAAACAGTGCCTGTTCCCCACAAGTTGAAATGTAAGATTTTTTTTTTTTAATATCGCCCTTTTCCATCAGACACAGGTGAGGTTTGTTAGAGGGCAGACCTGGGCTCCTGCAGCATCGCCCCCAGGGTCAGTGTGGCTCAAGAGTATCTTCCCAAACCTCTTCTGTGACCACACAGTCCATCCCCTACCCCCAACAGACCAGGAATTTCCCCACTCCTGCTATGGTTCCAAAGATAAACCCCTTGTAACGACTAATTCAAACCCTCCTCCCTTTCCCAAATCACAGCATGTAAATAACCATCTTAACCATGATAGGAAAACATTTCAGGAGCAACTAATTGAAGAGTTTAGTCCTAAAAAATATTGAACATCATCAATACTCCTTGTTTTCATGTGTAAATATTTACTTTTAAGCCACCTAGTATACTCTCTAGATGCCAGGAAGTTATTTTAAAACTCATTGTAAAGTGGGAATTACTAAGAAGGTTGAAGAAAACACTGTTTTTTTAAGATTAGACCTTAAGTTCAACCAGAACTAATGAAAACTTGAGTAGTTACAATAATTTTCAAGTGGGTTTATATTTTCTCGTGTTGCTTTTGTGTTTCCTCTTCTTGGAGATGCATTGCACGTTTTTGCAACAAGTCACAGGCTCTTGAAAAGGCAGATACACAAACGTTGAGAAATACAATCAGATTTGTAGTGCATTGAGATAAAAGCTCTTTGGAACATTACCCAGAACATTGCAAAAGTACAGTATAGTCATGACCAGCGTTTCTAACATTTGTAATGAGAATTCTGATTTACAAATAGATCTCTCACACAATGTGGTCATTTGATGTGGATGACAGTGTGTGAATTCATATTTTAGGTCTGCTATTAACTACTGCAGCTGTACCTGAGCAGGCCATGGGTGGGCAACAGTGTGAAGCACTTGGGAAAGACTCAAGCTTGGAAACCACAGAAAAATCTTTCAAAACAGAATCTTTTAAAAATTCCATTGTGTGTAAGCACTGAGCAGCGTTAAATCCGAGGATACGGTGGGAGAATCCACGTGCAGAAGTAGGAGAACCAAAAAGCACGGCACAAATAGGGGTGTGAGCTGGGCTGCCATGGTCAGAACCGAACTCCACATAGACAGAAGTGTTAGTGAAACAAACCCAAATGATTACTGACAAAATGGCTGTGGTTTGAGGTTTTTTTCCCACGTGGATATATTTAATGAACATGGAACCTCTACTCTTCATTTTTGCCAAGACAGAACAAAGATCGGTGCTTAAACCATATTCTCTGAAATCTAGTTTGGTTAGAAAATATAAAACTGTTTCAATATCTTCCCTCAGCACTTTATCATCTCTGTCATAGACAGGATTATGTTAACCAGAAGCTCTACAAAGGTAACAAATGTAGAGTCTGCCTCCACTGTCACAAACACTTATGGGCAATATTACTGAGAAGGAAATTTCAAGAGCACTTTAATATACAGAATGAGTGGGATAGATGTGTGGGGCTTATTTTAAAGAGACAGCCTTTATTTAAAGAACTTTGCTTTGTAGATCTTGTAAAGTAAACATTACAATACTTTTTTTCCACAAATATATTAAAATTGTTTAAATTTAAAAGGCAATTCCACAGACTGATGGATATTTTTAAAGAAAAAAAAATCTAACAGAAATAGGCAGCTCAACTAAAACTAGATTTTAAACATTCTGTTTTGTCATTCCATCTTAAAAAAAAAAGAAAAAAAGGAAAAAGACATTTTTTCCACGCAGACTTCCTTTACAGCAATAAGGCAACTCCTGGAGATCTGAATGAGCTCCTTGGAGATTACAGATACTGTAACTGGCTGTTCCTCATGCTTTATAACACCCAAAGGTGCAACTATCCATTAATCACAATCACATCTGTGCATTAAAATATAAAACTTAAATTACAGATTTTAAAAATATTACTAATAGACTTCCCTATCATAAAATGTTTTACATTTACAGTACTTGAACTATTTCAGTTCTGGGTTGATGAGGTTTAAGCAATTTACCACTGCAAGAGTTAGACTCTGGAGCTCACAAACAGCACAACCCAACCAGGGGCAGCGATAGTCGGTAGAGTCATAGTGCAAATCAAAATAAGGAGTGCAGAACTGCACTAGTTGTTTACATTTCTAAAATATAAATGAACAAGACGAGCTCTTATATTGTACATGCAATAAATTATAGTAAGCATATAGCAATGGGGCTGGGGCATTCTACAAGTGTAGCTGGTGTACCAGAGCTGAAGCCTGTGAAAGATAGGACTCAGTAAACAAAACATTTCAAAGCTTTGTTGTCACAGCACTTGAACTCTGCTTTCATGCTTTGTACTTCTGCTTCCCTGTCTCGCTGATCACACAGATATGCTAGAACAAAACAAAATAAAAAACTCCTGTTAGAAAAGTAACATAAGAGACCAACGTTTGACATCGATAACGAGCTCCTGAAAACAATACAAGTGTGCTGTACGCGTTTCCGCACAAAAGGATTTTGTGATACTGTTTATGCAGAAAAACTTAAGCCCTTTTTTGGTCCAAAAATCTCAACATTGCCTCCTTTCTCCTCCCTCTAATTGTCCCACCCAATGTCTTCTGAATCTGGCGAGACCCAGATAAAGAATTAATGACTTAGAACAAAAAGTGAGCCCTTCTTAACTTCTTCTCAGATCTCTCTTCTTTACCTCTTACATAACTAAGCAAATGCACTTATTTGTTGTAGATGTCTGGTAAGACAAGAAACTTCACATGAACTCCACATTATTTCCAAGCTGGCAGATGTGCAGCCCCCATGGTGCATGCAGCAAAATAAAGTTCAGTTTCATAAGGGCTCCAAACACTGTCCTGCTGCTCCAGGACTTGCTCCCATCATTGCATCACCAACGGAACAGACTGGAACATGAGGCATGATTTACAGAGGAGGGAGAGTGATGTGAGGAGATTTCCTTTCCTTCCTCCTCCCTAGTTTTAAATGGGCAAAAACATACGGGAAAAATTACTTACGTTCAAATCTCTAAAGTATTCATTGTAATCTAGGGCGTATCCCACAACAAACTTGTCTGGCACTTCAAATCCAACAACTGAAAAAGACCATAAGTCACCAGTGTGTTAGAAAGGAACTTCCTAGAGTTCACTAGAGCCTTTTACAGAGACAATCTGGAATTTTATAGATATGTCAGCATTGTAACTCATTTTATTTCTTCCACTCAAGTACTCTCAGATTCATATTCCACCTATTTTAGAATTTTAACTTACTTTGTTGATTTAGCAAACTAAAGGAAATTAAATAGCTGTATTTATTGGTCCCCACACAGCTGCAGGCTACTAGTATGCAAGAAATTAATGGAAACTCTTAAATCTATAGACAGAATATTATGAGTATAAAATTCCTTGAAAATTTCCTCTAACTTTGTAAACACATACAAAAAGTGCCAATACTTCCTGGCACTTCCTACACGTTTGACATGCCAGTGCAGCAGGAGTGAACTGGTGAGCACAGCACAAGTCCCCCTCACAGCACAATCCAAAAGGCAGCACCTCTGGGAGCTGGGCCTGCACCCCAGGCAGGGCTGCAGGAAGGGTCATTTGCAGGTCTCAGAAACGTGGGTTGGTTTGGGGTTTTTTTGTGTTTGGTTGTGATTTTTATCTCCCAGAGAAGCTGCCTAAAAAGAGAACATCAGCTCTTCCATAGATTGTCTGAACAGCTCTAGCAGGACAGTTCATCGGTGGTCAGGCAGTCTCAGTCCAACCTGCCCACACACACTACACAATTACCAAAATTAAATTATATACAATATAAAACTTCCAAGTGGCTTTCTCCCCACAGGCCAAAATGAAAGACTCCCGAGTCTTTCCTAAATTAAGGTGACATTTAGCATTTACTTGGCCTCACAATACAGGGATAAAATGGAGGCCCAGCCATTGTTGTCTCTCCCTTCAGAGCTCATGTGTCCTGCTCTGGACAGGTTGTCTCTGTGGACAGATGGCAAAACAAGTCATCTGCTGCAAGATGCTCCAAAGGAACCATTAGCCCAGCTAAGCTTATAATGAGATCCCAGGAATGAGGGGCGTCCTTGACTGAGGGGAACACCTCAATGAAGCTTTAAGGTATTGAAAAAACTTCAGTTCCTAAATAATGTACAACCTTGGAAAGGAGGAGGAAGAGGATGTGATTCTGTTGCTAAATTCACTCCATTTCTACAGTGAAAGTCCATGGTCTAGACTAACAGGAATTTAGTCTCTGGAACAGGCTTAAAGCACACAGCCCTTCCCAAGGCAGGAGGAGCTGTCACTCTCTTACCATTGTCTACTGTGGTTACTATTCCTTCCTTAATGGTCTTGGGACAGACAGGAAAATACAAGAAGGGAGTAATTCAGATGCCCAGCCTTAACCAGCCTTAACTTGTATCAGACCTTCTACCCTGTGTGGTTGTCCTACATTCCTGGGAACATCCAAACAGCATGAAGTGGCTACGTTTAGGCACCCAAATCACTCCCAAGTGTGTCAAAAGGTGAATCCAGCAGATTCTTCTGACCAAAGCATTTGACTACAGGTAAGCTGGGAGAATTTGCACATGAAAAGCGTGTAACCTAGACCAAAAATATCAAAGTTTGGTTTTCAATATAGTAAAATGATACAAATCCCGATGAACTCCATCAAAATACGTTCCAAATATTTAAATTCCCTAAATAAAAGCAAAATCTATCAAGAATCATTAGTGAAAACTTATTTGGAACATTCTTGGACTTTGTCAATACACTGACATACTTATAAAAATGAATAATGGTTGTCAAAAAGTCACTTACAGTCTGGTCGATATCCAACACTTCGAGGAGTTCTTTTTACCAACAAACTGTCAAATAAAACCAATGTACAACTGAAACATGGAAAAGCACCAGGTACAAATATATTATACTGTTTTGATGACAGACAAGCTGAAGCAGACCTAAATGTGCATAACTGACAGGATAACCACACATATATTAAACTATTATTTTATTTGCAGGCACAGTTGATCATAATGACAAAATCACAACTTCCTAGAATCATGAATGATTTACAGCCTAAAGGATAACTAGGAGGTCTGCAAGGAAAAGGCTTGGAGATACTGATCTGGATGCATTTCGATGGTGAAAAGTAATTTAGTGGGGGTTTATGTGTGTTAGGAACTTCAGGTGCACTTGTGCGACTTGGTTCAAACTGTTTTTCACTGGAAGCACTAATTATCCCCATAATGAAAATGTAATGGGTTCTGATGATCAGGGGATACAAATCTGCTCCCTTTTCAGAATTAACAGTGAGAGGTTATAAAGAGCAGGGAGATACAGAGCAGGGGGCACTGTAGCAGAGAGAAAGGCACTGCTAGCATAGTTGGATTCCCTCCTTATTCAGTTGAGCATTTCTACCTTAGAAGACAATCCCACAGGCCTGACACTTGCCTGTCTGGGATAGAGAGACTTTGGGAGCAAAAGAAAGGGTGGTTGATGGCTGAATGTAAATGCAGAGATTAGAATAACTCTGTGCATTGAGCACAGACCTCCCTCCCTCCTGGGTCACCCCTGAAGGTGGGGCTTCACCTGCCAGAGTCCCAGTCTCGATTTCAGACAGTTGCTGAACTTCCAATTGGGAAACTTAACTTTTGAGAATTGGTGTAGGAATTGATCAGAGAAACCCCCAAATCATATTAGCATTAATTCACATCTCCCTGCTACAACTCCTTAATTGTCTGAGAGAAAGACAATAAAAAAATTTTAAAAAAACCCACAACCATCACCAACAAACAAACAAACAAACAAAAACAACTAAAAAAGACAAAAAGAAATAGAAGAGAGGCAAGTGAAGTAACTAAGAACTAAGACTATCTAGAATGATCATGTTTACCTCCTCAGGTCTTTGGTAGACCCAAATTACTGCAACAGGTTTAAACAACAGGAAACTAGTCTTTGCTCATTTGTATTATATTTATGATTTACACTGTTGTGTTGTGACACTTATTTTTATTCTGGCCAGGGAGAAATCCTCAACAGCCTCACCTTCAGCAGGTCACCCCCAGATTATTAGCAAGAAGAGCTGTTCTCACACATCTAACAACTGCTTTGACATTGTTATGGCAACACAAGTGATTAGATATTACACCCAGCCCTGCTTTATCTCTAATCCCCAGCAATCATTATGCTTTTATTGGAAAATACACAACCACAGCACAGCAGCGCAACAGATGCAATTTAAAAAGAAGTAGGAGGGATGTTGATATTGGTTAATAATATAATGTTATCCTCAATATTTCTTGTTGGCTGCAAGTTATCTAATTATGAAATGTTTTGAAAACTAATTGAATAAAGGTGTAACTAAGTAGAAAAGCCCAGAAGAGCATATGGCTGGCTGACTCTCACGGAATGACCTCCAAAGCTCAGCTGCACTATGCCCTCTACACAAACATTAATATTAGTGTGCAAACTAATTTAATTCTACAATAAAGAAGGCAAACTAAAAAAAGGTCTTCACTGCACAAATATAGTGAAGTTGCAGATAGTGCCAGCAGAAACAAACATCTTTGGAGAGATGTTACATACAGGTAAGTGACAACCACTAATTATTTTTATCGTCTTCTCCAGTAAAAGTCTACATTTATGAACTAAATTTGTGTTGAAAATGCCTCTATCAACTTGAGAGGGTATTTCACTTAAGCTCAAAAGGCTGAAATTCTTCTAGCTACTTCTAAACTTGGACTTCAGTGGTAAAACACCCCAAACCTTACCATAATGTGATCAGGCAAGAGATGTCCCAGGCATCCCCTTCTGAAGCACTGAAATTCTTCCAGCAATAAGACTGAGAAGAACAGTGTTTCCAGCATCCCTAACAAATGCATATTCTCATAACAAGCAAAAGTGGTTTTGGAGTTTAATTTAGTACTAATCTTCAACAGATTGCATCATATATGACTGCTGCAGAAATGTTTCCTCCTGTTTTTCTCTTCCATGGAAATGTATTCTACATTTGGTTTTGTTTGTTGGTTTGGGTTTTTTTCACACTGTGTGTCCTTCTTAAGGTGAAAAACAGCACAAATAATCATTAAGAATTTACCTGGCTACTTTCACCATCTTTGGATTGTACTGCTTAAGTAGAGACAGCAACGTTTTCATTGTTTTACCAGTATCAATTATATCCTGAAAATAAAAAACTCATGTAAGACAGAATATTAAACACACCAGGGTAGCATTTTCAAGTTTCCACCACAGAAATTGCTCATTCACAGGAGCATGAAAATATGGTAAACTACTGCTTGTAAAAATGCCCATAAAAATGCTTGTAGCCAAATATAGGTGACACGTAACCCCTGCCGTGCTCATGCAACCACCCTGAGTAATGTGATCACACCCAGGAGTTATTAATTAATAACACACAGGAGTTATTAATAACAGGAGTTCTTAATTGTTGTGGATAACCGTGGCTTTGAAAGCAGTTGCTGAACCAGCAGTTACTGCAATGACCTTCTTGGCTCCTTCTGGAGATTTTATGGCTTGTGGTCCTTGCAGCCATGAGACAAAGTTTAATTTGAGTGTGGTATGAGTAATATTAGTCTTGCTGTTGAGCTCAGTTACAGACAGATGTATCCAACAGAAAGAAAAGCAAGAAGGGAAAACAGGCAGAACAACCCATTATTGCAATTGGAGGAATGTAATGCACATTACAGATTCAAGAAATAGCTGGAAAAATTGCACTGGGAATATCTGGGTGCAGTTCTAAAGTCTAAAACACACTAGAATTTTAATCACACACCATTTTAATCCCATCTACTGCACATATAAGCAGGAAGAAATAATATATGGCTTATAACTGAGGCATCAGAAATGGATTAGTCATTTGGACTGAAACAATCATAGGATCTTTAGGGGGACAGTCTTTACCCTGGCCTGAAATAAAGTCTATTTGAAGTGAAGGAGGCAGATAGTACAGAAGTAGCAATATCCTGATTTCAGCTTATTTCCCCATGACTCCCAATTAAAACAAAAATCAAACAACAAATTCAACAGAGCATCCATCAGCAATACCATTAACACTTAATGCTTTTAATCATGGTTATAAACTCAAGAGAACTTAAAGACATACATGCATATAGATAAAAATCAAAGCTGGTAAATAAACAGAAGTAGCTACTTCCAAACTCCAAGGGAAACCCAGAACCTATTACTGATTTTGTGTTATGTGATTAGCTGTTTATTAGAGGTGAAGTTCTATTTTGTAAAGATTTTCTTTGACATTAAAGGGATGCAGTAGAGAAAAGCCTTGTGCTCTGGTGCACAAGACATTAAACCCACAATAAATGTGCATTTTTATTGTTTGACAGTTAAATGGTGATTGATAAAAGGGTTCATATTTGACAGTGTATAAGACGAGTCATTGGATAGATGATTCACTGAATAAATAAATGATAAACTAACCTAATCTGAGGCTTACATTCATCTGAAATGGAGCAGATACCTAATTAAACATATCTGCCTATCTGAAGCAAAATATACTTCAAAGGACTGCACTGGTCACACAATGACTGCTGTATCATACTATTTTGGTACGAGTTTTGGAACTGAATGTGCTTCCTGTGGAATAATATAACCTCCTCAAATTAGGAAAATGATACATAAAAAACACATTTGACTAAAAGAAACATCCTTCCCTTTGGCTGCTGAATCAGTTGCCATAGCTGTTTCTTTCCTTACAAACATGCCATTTCCATTATTTGGAGACTTAACACACTATTAGATTGCACATCCACTTTTCCTGTCTACTGCTGCTGCTTCCCTACCCTGAAATTGTCAATTGTACTCAAGGAAAGTGATACTGGCTGAACATGAGCAATGTTGTTCATCAAGAAAGAGGTATGAAAGCAAGAATTACACAACAATACCTCCTAGGCAATCAAACTGGGTTGTACTGTACCTGGAACCATGACAAGACAGAGGAATGGGAATTCAGCAACTACAAAATGCTCATTAAGAATCAGTGTTCTCAGTGTCACTATTCGCTAATTAAATGACACACAGAGACACTGGGCTTAGATCTGTTTTTCACATATTTTAGGATACTCATACCAGGAACCTCTTTCTACCTCTGCAGCTTAGTTTCATAGTTTGCTATGATAAACCCAGGACAATAATACATTTCATAGCTGTTTGTTCAGGCTACTTTTTAAAAGAAAAAAAGGGGGGAACAAAAGACATTTTAGAATTGACAAAATCCCAGAAAACTGAAAGCAAATGCAAACAGCTTTCGATGGTTATTTTCTTTGTTAAATATAGCAGTTGAAGGCAATTTGAGAATTCAAAACACAGCTTAGTTCAAAGTCAGAGATCACTTGCAAAATTCAGGCCTGAAATCAGAAGCTGGAAGACTTGAAGCCAGAAACTGTAGGTTTTCTGGCTTAAGAACAACTTCTAATAGAACTCTTTAACCAGTGACACATTAGAACTGCAAAGTGAAACATAATACTTACTTCTACAATCAAAACATTCTGGTAGGAAGAAAAAGAAAAAAAAAAAGGAAAAATCCATTAATATCTAGACAACATACAATTTCTTATTAATCTCTATAACTCGTTAATTTTCAATGCAGTTAAATATTTGTACCACCATTTATGTATGTTTACATACATATGTTTACAGAATTTGTCTTTGCTGATACCAAAGACAGTGAATAGAGGATTTTTTAAGTTCAGACTAAACTGATGGCTTTGATGGGGCTTATCCATTCTCTGAGTACACAGTGGTGAATATTTAAAGGAAACATTTCCATTTTTTAAACTCTATAATCTTCACACACTAAAAGAGCAGCTTTAAAATCACGCAGGTATGTGGGTTCCTTAGTGGTTTGTTTGTTCCTTAGTGGTTTGTTTGTTTGCTTGCTTTTAAACATACAAAGAGTCATACCTTTCCAGTCAAGGTTGAGAGGTCATCTCCCCCAATGACTTTGATATCTCCAGTTGACTGATCATTCTAAGAAAGAGGAGGGTGAGCATTACCATTACCAGAATAAAACTAATTATTTCCTTGCAGTAAATGTCAAACTAATTTTTTTCTTGCAGCAAATGTCAAAATTGCAAAGCACATAACCAGTGAATGTTAATGCTTTCAGAAACAGCATCTCTCTATTAACTAAGAAATTACAAGTGATCAACTTCAAAGATGGTATTTCAGATTAAAGACTGTTTGACAAGAGATTTGCATCAGTGCAGGCACCATCTCTCATCTGTGACCATTATATATACATATGTATCTAAAAAGCTAGGATTTGCTATGCATTCCCTACAGATATGGAAACAGGACAAAAAGCAGTTTGTTTTCCAAGCTGCATGCTGCCATATAGCTGGTAATTTACATTTTAAACTTTAATGCCTTAGAAAGCCTTACTCTGAATAAGAATAAGCAATCATAAGAAGAATAGCCAGCAAACAAGGCACAGATTACTATTGAGAACTATAAGCTACAAAAATAGCCAGAAAAGCTTATGCTTGCCTAGTTTATAGCAAATATTGGTAACAGACCAAATTACTTCTTATAGCAATGGAACAGCAACACAGGTACACCGTCACTACAACAGAGCATTTTGCTTCAGCAAAACTGAACTGTGATAAAAACATAAATGAACTGTTACACAGGAAAGATAAAAACAGCTGCTAGAAGTGCTTCACAAATCTTTGCAGTTTATCAAAGTCACTCGACTGACTTTAAACCTTGACAGTGTCTCACGGGTCATATTAAACGCCTGTGCAGGTGCTGAGTTCCTGAGCAACCAAAGGGTGAAAAAACAGTTAAAGATTTCTGACACCGGTTGTAACCAGATTTCCACCGGCAAGAACTTTGTTTAATAATTAAGCAACGTTTTAATTATCTTCAGGAGCCTTATTTCCCAGTTCAGTACTGGTAAGACTTTAATGCTTTGTGGTGTAATACATAAGAGTTTTACTGTTTAGATCTGTTTTCACTGCCTCCCTGTTGTCACCGCTGGAAAACAATAATGCTTTACAAGATCATAACTCCTGACTCAAGTGACTCCAAGATCACCTTTTAAAAGGCATTTTAAGTTCCTTACAGCATTTGCTATAAGGCTTGGTTGGCAGAGACCTTTCAGAATACTGCTGTGACCAGCCTAACCAGAGTTTACCATGTACTCCACTGAAAATCCCTATTTTTCCAAGTGACAGCACAACACATCCACTGTCTTTTGGCTGCCCTTCATGACTATATAAGCAACAATTGCTCATTTCCATGTTTAAACGCAGTAGACTGGTGAAAAGCCATTCTTCCTATAACACAAACAGAATGAACTGTTTGTCAAGAATACTGAGAGCTGGATCTGTTCACAAACACTATCTTTCCATTTCTTAACAGCTTGCCAGATCATTAAAATTCATCTATAAGGACTCAGAAAACTGGAGTTATGAGCAAAGTTTAATCACAGCTTGATCATGTCAGTATTCTTAGAGAATTATTTTTGGGTGCAGAACAGAATGAACTTTGCATTGCAACACAAAATAAAACCCCATATGCTTGTAAATATTAAATGATCGGTTTGAAACAAGAATAGAACCTCAATTACATCAATTACAGAACCATTACAAAAGTTCAGCTGCTTCATTTATACGACCAGGGTATTTTTAACATCTTTTATCCAGTCTGTAGAGGCAGGCAGGATGATCTAGTAATCATATCCAGAGACAGTGACAAGAGAGTCGAAAGCTCCACTTTCAACTGTCCATTACAGCTTGTGATGGCTTTCACATCACTAAACACAAATCTGTCCAGCTAGTAAAGCACAGGTCAAAACTACAGGGCAGATTTAGCATTACAACACTATTTCTGATGGAAGACCCAGTCAAGCTGTTATATACATGTCCGTGTTAGGACATTCTTATCCAGTCTAAAGGACCTAAGATTGGATATTAATAACCACCTAAGAGAGTCTACAGAAATGAAGTGCTTGTAAATACTGCAGTGGAGGCATCAGGTAACAGGAGCTCCTAACTCATCTAGAATAAGAAAACATTCTTTTATAGAATTGGCTGACAAAACCAAAAACCCTGAAGCCAACACCTCAAGGAAAACATTCTGCTTAGACAACTTTCTGTCTGTCTTTCTCTGCTTCCCTCTTCATCTACATGTTTTTACTACAAAAAGGGCTTTTAATTTCCATAAAACTTACTTGGTTGCTCACTCCCCTATTAATAACAAGGCACTGTAGTTCTGGGGGGTAATTACCAAAAGCAGCTGTAGTAAAGAAATAAACTGAAACATGGCTGAAACACCGGTAAAAAGGCAGCCTTGCTTTTTAACAGAGGCTTTTTTTCAGGTGTTTCAAACCATTTCTCCAATATTTTTTTTCCAAGTTAGAAAGTAGAGAGTGTGAAAGGGTGTAGTCTTTACACTGTTTGTTAAAACAAGCTAAGTAAGCTATTGGAAGTGTTCCTTGGAGAAAGCAGAAGATACATACAACTGCCTGTCCCAGGGTTACAAAAAAAAAGGGGGAGCCATCATTTCCTATTCTTTAACCTACTATCCTGTAATAGAGTTTTTGTGTTTTTTACAGGCAGAATATATGGGCATGTGGGGGCCTCGCCGTTAAGCAGACTGGTGGCAGGAGTCTCCTCTTTTGGGAGGAATGGAAGGAAAGAGGCTCAAACTGCTCTCTCTCACTGACTTTAATACAGTGCACAAGCACAAAGTGCCTTGTGAGATACAACCAAAGGCTGGCACAGACCCTTCTGCCCAGCCTTGCCTTCTCGTTAAAGTACATAACTAAATTACTGCCTCATGTTCTGCAAACGTGACTGTGGTCTCCAGGTAACCCCTGGACAGGCAGTGGTGTGTGTGCCTCGGGCAGCTGGGGCTGCTTGTCTGCACAGACTGGACCAAAGCCCCACACACTTCTGGGCTTTGCTGTGACACATTAATAGATCACAATAACTCCATCTCTGGGTTACACAGTTTAATGAAACAAAGGATAAGTTTCCAAGTCAGTTATCTCTATTTTCTAATGCTTTCTGCACTCCTCTACAACTGCAACAAGTAACCCACAGCGCTGACTTCAGTGCCAAGTTGCTGATACAGAACTAACTGTAAAACAATGTATTGATACACTCTAAACTAAAACCAAAAAATGTCATTAATTCCACATTACAGGTGGTCTTGGGGAACATATCATAAATTTCTGAAATCCCAAAAACATGAGACTTGGCTGTCAGAAGGTCAGGAATCATACAGTGCTGACATACACCTGCTTCTTCCTCCGACCTGCACAACATAACCTTGTGCTTCCTTCTACAAAACTTGCAAGTTACCTCATTTTACAGAATGTTCACTTTCCCTATAAAGTTGTGTTCAGAATTAAAAGATTCTCCCAAAAAATGTAAACCCAAGGCAACCCAAGATGCCTAGTCTTGAAAGGGTAGTACAGTATTCAGGGGCCACTAATCATAATTCTAAGTTTATGTATCCAGTATTTCTTCAAGGCCAAATACAACTACTTTGACTCACTGTTTGGTTGAGCCAAACAAAAGATGGGATAAGGAACTTGGGTATAACAGTTTTTGCAGCTTTCAAATCATGCTGTTCAATGATGAGGTCTGGTCCACATAATTCCTAGAATTAAATTTTTGTAATCATAGTTGCAGGAGAATCCTCTGTATTAGTCTTGAGCCACAGCTTTAGGGATGGGGTAGAGGGCTGAGAGGAAATTGGTGAACAAGTAAAGGACATGAACACATAAAGGACTCTCTACTCTGCATAAGGATTTTACTGGGCTGAGGAGATACCAAGGTCTAAAAGAAAACGCATTACATAATAAGGTAGAGAAAGAGTAAATTAGCTTGTGACTCTTAGTTCCCTTGATTATTTGTTTAATATTAGCACATTCTGGAAGTAACAACATTAAATCACCTCTGTTAATTTCTAGTCAAACAGATAAAAATTGCACAGCACTGCACAGATACTTACACAGTAACTCTTCAACCTAATGAAGTCGACAGTCATGGGGATTGATTTGTCACTGTTTCTGTTCAGGGCTTTGATGTAGTCTAACAAATCAGCAAAAAATTTATAGCCACCCTTCAGTACACAGAGTGCCACAATGTGGTGTCCTCCCATGCCCTTCATAATTTCTCGTGCCAGTCTCTCCGTCCTAAACAAAACCAAGGAAGAGTGAGCTGTCAAAACATTTCATTTGTTTACCATAGCAGCAGCGTTTTGGACTGTGAACAGCAGCAAACACGGGCATCAAACTTGGAAATATGTTTGCTCAGAAATATTTGTCTACCACTTCAGTTCACTTTTACACGTTACTGGTCAACTAAGTTTTGCTGTTCAAGGTTAATCCAACAATAGTGCTGCCAAATGACCTTGTTTTCATACGTCACACTCAGCCAAAGCAAATTTTAACACCCTGAAACTGTTTGGCTGTCAGATATGAGACACAAAGGTGTGTTTCTCCTTCCAAAGACAGGTTCAGCTTCCACGCAAAGAGCAACGTAACACAACCCAAAAGGCAGCACCCCTTACTAACTGAGGAGCAAGAAAAGTTTCAAATTTTAAACTAAAGAGTTTATTTGCCAAGTTAGAATGCCAGAAACTTGTCCTGAATGCAGAATACAATACCAACAATGCAGAGCAAGAGAACACTGCACTGTTTTACTGCAATCATTGTTTCTAAATTTATCTTGCAATTTATTTTAGAAAGCACGGTCTGCATTTATTGTGTGCCAGCTGACAGCAGGTTTCTCAGAGAAAGCCAACCATTATAAACTTTATGTCAGTTCCTTAATGACAAGTATTTTGTCCAATTTTTTGCTCTATATGGACTTCCAGTGCAAAGTTTTTACAATAATTAAAAATAAACTTTTTTTAAAGAGATGATCATTATATCTAGTCAAACAGGACCATGCAAAATCTAGATGCATTCCTAGTCACAAGATCTCCTAGAAGATCCACCCAGCGCCACTCATAAATGGCTTAAATTCACCAAATTTGTTGTTCATTCTCTTAAAGGGAATTAGCAACTATCAAACACAAAATAAAACAAATATGCCTCGTAGGCTTATGCACCAATTTCTGATCACACAAGATAAAACTTCACAGCACATCACAGATTTCAGCAACCACAAAAGCGATAGATTTATATTTGTGGAGGATAACGTCTTTCCCAGAAGGTAGGAGAAAGTAGGATGGTATTCACCTACCACATGAACATGAGAAAGTTTAACACGACGAGATTAATAATTTACTTTTATTAATATCTTATGGAAATTCAAGAGACTATAATTGTTTTCAGACTCAACTGGTACAACAAAACGTCTTCTAATTACGTTTCTAAAACATCAAAGGAACAATGGAAAGAAAGTCATAGGTTGCTACCTACCACAACATTTTGCTTGAGAATTATGACCAATTTTCAAACAATAGCATGACTGCAAATGTACAAACTCTTAGAAGCCAAAAAAAGAGAGTTAATTAGCACTTGTATGTTCTAGTCTCTAATTAAATGTAATCTATTTAGACAGTCACCAGGCAGCAAAATTATCACTGGAAGATTGTTTATTCCTGCGTCATGGAATCAGTGTACTGTCTGAAGTCAAACAAACCTGTCCATGATGAGCCCATGAGGAATATAGACTTTTTCCAAATCATCTGCATAATGTTTAGGTATGCAGAACAAATCCAGGTCGTAGCCTTGTTCATCATCACCAATCTGAAAAGGAAATAAGGTGAGATTTCTAAAGAGCCTTATATAGAGTCCGTGGTGAGACTTTGCGTTATTCAGTAAAAACTATCAAACCCACAACACTCATCAGCCTCTCTGAAAACATCAGTCACACTGAACACACACAAAGTGTAATCTAACAGTTCACAAGGGTTACTTGAAATACCACGAGTTGTTACGCAATGCCCAAGTCCTACAACATTCTCCTGCACCGGAGAGCGGGAAAGTGAAGGTACTTCACCCGAACGAAGCTCTATATTCCATTAAAAAAATGACCAAGGAGCTTTTTAACCTCTTTGATTTTCCTAATGTAATGCAAAACCTGCATTTGCAATTAAGCAAGCAGAGGTTCTGACATGGACACCTTCCAAATCTCCACAACACCCGATCACAACAAAACACATGAGCCAGCGCACAGGACAAGACAAGACAGCTACGTGAGCATGGCAAGTTCTGCTGCTGAGAAGCAAGTCTTCTCTGACCACCATCTCCAAAACAGGCAGGTTCAAGATCTTTCAGAATCTGAAATTAAAGCCTTCAGCAACCTGTTCCACATGGACAAACTCCCTGTATGAAATAGCCTGCAACATTGGCAAGTGCATGTTAATTAGGACAAGGGATTAGCAAATGTATATAATGATACCAAACGCTGCTGAGGCTCAGGGCACATTGTCACATCAGGCAGAGCCTTCCCTGAACCTTAACCCTGCCGCAGCTCGAAAATGACAATGTGTTTTTTTAATTCCTTCACTCTCTGGTTATGTAGCTGAACACCAGGAAAAAGAATTGCAGAGGGAAAACAGAAGCTTGTCACTGACAGTTCACCAGGGCGGGTATTTTAAGTATCCATTTTGGTACAGTTACTTTTGCAGGGCTCGATCTTATTTCAGTGCCCGTGCAAGCACTTACCTGGCCAGTGATCAGCGAACTGTTTACATGGGGGTTTTGTTGTGTAACCCCCTAATGAGTATTTTACCTGGGGAATTTCATTAGTATTTCAAACTCCCATCCAAAACTGACCCTGTGTGAGCTGCACACACACATACGGCTCGGGCACCGAGTCCCTGCCCTGGGTCCCTGCAGACCACAGCAGGCTGCTATTTTAAGAAATAAAGCAGGTCCGTCCCAAAACTCGTGGTATTTTCCTGTGGTCCAGAACCAACGTTATATCGAGCGTGTCTACTAAACCTTCCTTTCTGCATCTGACAGGGAATGGGCCCTTCCTACAGGTTTTATCAGGGTTTTTTTATGACTGCAGGGATTTACAGTCGCAACCTCGCGGCCGGCACAGCTCCCGGCCATCAGACACCGCACGCACTTCATCAGCACCGGCACTGGCTTTAAAAAGATTAATAAAAACGAGCACGTAAGCGCCTTAGCAGATGCGGCGATAACGCAAAAATATAAAGAACATCCCCCGGATGCTGCTCCTCCGGCAGCAGCCCCGGCTCACACACACGTGGGGTTCTCCCGACCGGAGCCTCCCGCACGCCGCGAACAGCAACAGGAATAGGAAGTTGTGCAGCCCTGGGGGAAGTTCATCCACCTTCGCTCCAGAGGCGCCAGCGCCGGCTGTGCCCGCCGCCCCCGGGCTCCGGGTCCCCGGGATCCCACCCCGAGGGACCCGCGGCCCCCGCGGGGAAGGGACGCGCCCGGCCCGGGGCAGAGAGGGCAGGGACGGGCAGCCCCGGGCCCGGCGCTGGCAGGGAGGCCGGGGCTGCCCTCAAGGTGACTCCGGGGAGCGGCGGCGCCGAGGGACGCGACAGACGACACACGACACGACAGCACGGGACACGACACACCACACGACGCGGCACCCCCCGCGGTCCCTCACAAGATCTCCGCATTCCGGGCGGCGGGCGGGACCCCCCTCGTCGGCCGGCGGGGCACAGCGGCCCCGGCATCGCCCGGCATCGCCCGTCCCGCCGCACTCACCACGATGCAGGGGCTGGGGGTCGCCATGGAGCGCGGCCCCGCCGGCGGCGGCTGCGGGCGGCTCGGAGCAGCGGCGGCAGAGGCGGCTCGGAGCGGTGGTGGCGGGCAGGGGGAGCGGGAGGCGCCGCGCCCGCAGCGGCCCCGGCGCCGCCTCCGCGCCCTCCGCGCTCCCCGCCCTCAACATGGCCGCGGTGCAGCCACCGCCCTCGGCGTGGCCGTGCGGCCGCCCCGCTGCCCCCGGGGAAGAGCGGGACAGGGGGGACCCTCGCCGGAACGGGGCCCTCGGCGGGGCCGTGCCCTTCCCAGCGGGGTGCGGGTGTCCCCCGCGCTGTCCCACATCCCCTCTCCAGGGTCTTCAGAGTTGGCCCTCCCCTCCACACGCCGCGATGTCGGGGTGTTCCCCGTCCCATCAGGACACCATGGGAGGGTGGCAGTGTCCAGTTCTGGGCCTCTTAATTCGGGAAGGACATTGAGGTGCTGGAGCGGGTCCAGAGAAGGGCAACGGAGCTGGTGAAGGGGCTGGAGCACAAGTGTGATGAGGAGCAGCCGAAGGAGCTGGGGGTGTTCAGCCTGGAGAGGAGGAGGCTCAGGGGGGATCCTACAACTCCCTGACAGGAGGTTGTAGCCAGGTGGGGGTCGTGCTCTTCTCCCAGGCAACCAGCGATAGGACAAGGGGACATAGTCTTAACCTGCACCAGGGGAGGTTTTGGTTGGACAGCAGGAAGAATTTCTTCACAGAAAGGGTGATTAGACACTGGAATGGGCTGCCCGGGGAGGTGGTGGGGTCACCATACCTGGTTAAGAAAAGACCACTTGGAGCCCTGGTCTAGTTGACACGGTGGGGTTTGGTCATAGGTTGGACTTGATCATCTCAGAGGTCTTTTCCAGTCTAACTGAGTCTGTGATTCTGTGACTCCCATGCCCATGGGAACAGGGCTGGTAACTGCTGTCATTCCAGAACCAAGGACAGGGAATGTGCATCCCTCAGGTATTCACGTCCGTGAAGGGGCTCCACAGACAGAGCCCCCATGCCCAGCAGGAACACTCCTCTCCTGCCAAGTGCTGGCCAGGCTCCTCTCCATCACCAGGGAAGGCCCATCCTCCACTGCAGCTTTATGCACCTTGAAGGACGAAAGAAACGGGAATGTTTGCATTCCTCCATGTCTTCCTGTGAATCACAGGATTTGGTAGGGTCTCATTCTCCCCAAGCAGAAGAAATCCAGCCCCCCAGCAAAGGCAGCTGAGGGCATGAGGAAAGTACCTCTAAATACCCAACAGACCATGGCACTGGTGGGTTCTGGGGTGTTGGGGCAGTGCCAGCTGTCAGGGCCCTGGGCAGGGCAGGGCACTCAAACAAGCTGGCAGTGTTGTGTCAGGACAGTTGTGATAACCAACTATCATGCTCCAGGCCTCCAGCAGCTGATAATTTGCCAGGGTCAAATATACATAAGTCATATATTGTGGGATTTTTCTCCTCTGCTTCTCTTTGGAGGGTTAGTGTGCTTACAGCACATGGCTCTGACATGGCGCAGGGAACCCTTTGCAGAGGCCACTCCACATCTGACAGAGCAGGGAACTGACTTAAAAGTGAGCCTCAGTTGTGTGAGCCTCAGGTGATAGCTGTGCCTTTTGACCAGGCAAAGACGGTAGTGACAGGTACCACTTTCCCACACAGAATGGGACCTCGCTGCATGGGGTGGATAGAAGATCATTTTCCTTTTGCTGTAAGATAAGGCTGAACTGTGCTTGTAGATGCTGTCTATATCTGTAATTGTCTGAATGAAAAATCTGATCCTGAGGTAAAATAATAGGAAAGCATGGAAAGGCCTGGATAACTCCAGTGGTCTCAAATGAGAGAAAGAAAAAAAAAAAAAAGCATTGACTTTTCCTGTAGGTCTGGAGTAAGGACAATGCAACAGTGCAAATGGAAATTCGTGGTTTCTTATACTATGTATTAGCTGAAGACTTTCTCCTTTCTCTAAGGGATGGAAACCAATTTTTATTTTATGCTGCATAAAATCTTTGTGTCAAGAAAAGGATAATAATTCTTAAAAATAACTTTATTTATAAAGAGCTGTAGCAATCACCCTGATACATACCTACCATTATTGCTGTCGGCTCAGAAAACACAATGCAATCAATTTAATTGCTCCTTTGTACGAAACAAACAATTTGAGCAAATTTTAACTAAGCAAATGGGCATGATCCCTACTGAATGCTGCATTGTTGCAGCAAGGTGTTCAGCTACAGTCTGGGAGGGTTAACTCTGGAGTGGGAGGAAGGAGCCTTTATCAAATTGCCTGGAGCAGCAGAATGAAACGCCCTGGAGCTCAGAGATATCAGGAACACATCATAGCTGGATTATTTCCAGAAGGCCAGGAAGAACAGCAGCTGCCCTGTCAAGTCCAGGGAGAGCCTGACATTAGTGGGCAGTGGGCAGTATCTATGGAGAGACTGCAACAACAGAAGTGTTTCAGGATCAAATTTTATTTTAGTTACTGAAGACATTTCTCATTAATGACCAATATCAATTTCTGCCATTAAAAGTAGCACCCAACAGCACCTTTCTGATGGCAGGGAGGAGTTGTTGGCTTGCCTTCTATGCAGTTTCTCCCCAGCAAACAAAACCATTAGTCCTGTTTTGCCCTTCTGAGTGAGCAATTTCTTTGTTCCTCCTGCCAAATAGCACATTCCTGGATCCAAAGCATTCCTGGTCTTGCTGGCACCCCGTTATGGAGGGAAAAACAGATTTACAAAAGCAGAAATATTTGCTGATATTACAGGAAGTTGGTTAGCTGAGATCAGCACCAGATTTAGTAGATGACCAGTTTTGTTCTTGCTGGTACAGGGCCACCGAGCTTTGCAGTGCAGGGTGAGGGGGCTCAGAGGTATCTGGGAACAGCACATTTTCTGGCTAGATGATACATAAGGTGGGAAAGCCAGTGTTCTGATTTCTCTGGTGTGCACAGCTTCTTACAAGGCAAAATAATTTAATAAATGTGTTTTGTGTCTGAGTAGATTCTTGATTTCATAATTATTTTGTTCTCTGTTGCCAGCCAGGCATATCTCAGTGCTCAGGCCCAGTGAACCATGGCCTGTGTGAGCACCAGTTGTAAATAACTTTGTTAACAGACTTTTAGAAACCTTTCCTGGTAACCACATGCCCCCCCCCCCAAGTGGGGTACCTGGAGGTAATAACTGAGCAGTCATTCTTTGGAAGCACCTGAAATAGTGTCCTCTGGGTCAGCTCTTCAGGTCAGTGCCCATTCACCAATCCCCCTCTTCCCCCCATTTTTCCCTACCAGCTTTGCCATTGTTGCTGGGTGACTCACAGAGAATTAGCAGAATTTATCTGCTGGTTTTGTTTCACAAAACAAGTCTTCTAAAAAAGCAAAGAGCACAAAAAATCTTCAGCAGATTAACTACTGAGACCAGCATAACTCCCTTGTGACCAGAAAATTTGTCTGTGCAGACAGAACAGGGGAAAATGGAGAATTCCAGGCAGATTAAGCCAGTCCTGAGATGAGGACCATCATTTTTAGTCAAGAGGAAAACCAAGAAGGAATATCTCATTAGATTATATATAGAGCATTCTCCAAAATGTGAATTTAGCACACAAGCATCCCATCTACTGCATGGCTACAGAGGGATCTCTCCACTCTGACTAGTAATTATAATAGCCTATAATTATTTTTCTAGCCAAATGTTTCAAATGGGAGAGGAAGCCAGATGTACAAAAACATAATTTAAAAAGAGACACACCCTTCCTAAGAAATAGGGAATAGATGTTGTTTGTTGCAATATACCTATTAAAATAATGTTATTCCTGTTCTCTGTCTTGTTGACTCTTGTAGAAATTTGTCATCAAAGTGATTCTCAGTGGTGACAATCTCCATGGATTTTGGAAGGTGGTGCCTATCAATGTATTTGTTTCAAGACTGGGATTTCCTGGATGATGATAGTTTACCAAGATTTCTCTCCCTGCTCGGCTAATAAATGACAATTTACTTACCAAAAGTAAAATAAGCAAAACCTCTGAACCAATGTACTTCTCTATAGCTGTAGATAACTTCCTTTTTCACTAAAAAGGTTTTCATCCTCCAGGACAGGGGTTGGGGGAATTACAGACATTTTGCTCTTTATTCAGTAGTGCAAGGAACGGTCAGTGACACAAGAATTACACAGTTACTACAAAACACTCCGTGGTTGCTTATCACAAAATCTCAAGCATCCTGAGAACCACCAGCCTGTATTGCTGCACTTTGGGGCTGGTATTTATGGCATTTATCAGCTTTGGTTTGCAAACATCCGTTCAGAATTATCCCAGTGGTGCCGGCTCAGCAGGACCAGACACGCGACAGCGTCTGTCACAACACCGCGGCGAGGCCGGCGCTTGGCACTCCACACCACAGACACACGGGTCCTGCCCGGCGGGATTCACCCGGTGCCAGCCCGCTGCTAAGGGCCAGCTCGCCTAAGGGCCTGCAGGAATTTAAACAAGGATTATCTTAAAATGGCAGAAAACAAGCAAAGGCAGATCCCATCACTGAGGGAGAGCACGGCATGGGCTCGGTGCTGCCAACCCCGAAGCACAATCCTGTGCCCATGATTTTTAGTAGCCCAAGCCCCATGGCTGTGACTGAGCATGTGGGTGCCCACCTTCCCCCCAACAGCTCTGAGGTCTGCGCTTGCTCCTCTTCCTGCTCAGCAGGGACCTCGTTCCCTGGGCACAGAAGAGCTGTGGGAAGTGGCTTGGACGGAGAGGAAGGCACACCTGAAATCCAGAGACCCGCCCAAAGGACACTGTTTGTTTGAACCTGTCCTGACACAAACGTTGAAGCCTGAGCAACATAACCACCAGAAAGGTATTAAGGTGTTTTTCTTTTGTTTGGTTGGTTTTTTTTTTGGAAATAGCTGTTTTTCAAGCTCCACTTGACTCACTGAACAATGTGGCCTCATGGAGTCACTGATTGAGTTGGTAAGAAAAGAGGGTTCTTTCAACAAGACCACAGCTCGGTTCCTGCTGCAGAGCTGCCTCCAGAGCTGCTGCACCAACCCTCTGCTGTGTGTGCACCATCCCTGCTGCC